GATGGTAAAGGACTTGCCTTACAATTTTGAGGACAAGTCTGATAACCAGCACCATATAAAAGGCTTGGTGTTCTGGCTGTTCACCTGTTTTCAAACAACAGCTGCTCTGGCTGTCCTAGAATTCTCTATGTAGACCACGCTGACCTTGAACCTATTTCTGCCTCCCTGTTGCTGGGATAAGGATGTGCACCTGAAGCTAAAATATCAAATCCATGTTGTAAATTTATAAGAGGCAAATCCAAGTTTGCATCTCTAACCAGGTATGAAATATGACATCTCTGTTGTTTTTTTTTTAAGACACTCTCATGGACTTTCTGCGCAGGAATATGAATAGCAGTAATGAGGAATGGTCACATAGACTTGTAATCCTGGCACTGGGAGGAAAAAGTCCCCTATGTTTGCGGCCAGCCTGGTCACCATTGTTAATTCCAGGCCAGTGAAACCCTGTGTGAACAAAACCAAAGTAAGATAGAAACACGAACATTTGCAACTACAGAACAAGATTAAAACCAAGCTGGTCAATTCTAGGAGCACACTCCCATTGTTTAAATTTATCTAAGAAACAAGGTGCTAGTAACTGGCAAGGATACCACTGGCTGCATCATAAATGGGCCAGGTGCAGGGTAAAGGACCCACGCTGGAGCTCCATTGCTGCCCTCCATGACAAAGATCTCTTTCTTCAAAAGCCCAAACAGGACCATTATTGCCACACTGAGGACAGGCACCAGAATATGAATCAGAAAGTAAAGTAGAAACCAGAAGAGGTGCTTAGTGAAGGGGTGCACTTCAAGCAGGGTTTGGTCTGGTGGAGTTGAGGGTGCATACTACTGGCAATGGCACTCGGAGCCACATACTTTCATGAGTCATAAACATGGACGGGGACAAAAGGTTGGATACTCAGATTTGTGCTCCCCTGGCCCTCCTGCCCGGCCACCTGGCCCTCTGCTCGTCCCTAGCCTATCTTAACTTGCCCCTTGCTCCAGATGACTTTGCTATCCTTTGTCTTCACCCTAGACCTAAAACAACGTCATAATACCGTCCTTTACGTGTGAGGACAAAGCTATGGAGATACTGGGGACAGTGCATGCTCTCTCGATCTGAGCATGAGACGCAGAATCTCAAAACAGGCATGGACACACAGCTGTAATCTCAGCACTAGGGATGAAACCTGGATAAAGTCCATTAAGACCCTTTCTCAAGATAATAAGGCTCTCAAAGAAAGACTCTCAGTGTCCTGATTTTTATAGGTGCACCACATGCAGAAAGTAGTGCACGAAAAACATGCTTCTCAGAATTTTTGTTGATACCAAAAAAAATCATCCTGCTTGCCGCTTCTGGGATACAGTATACAAGCCGGGCAGTGGTGGCGCACGCCTTTAATCCCAGCACTTGGGAGGCAGAGGCAGGCAGATTTCTGAGTTCGAGGCCAGCCTGGTCTACAGAGTGAGTTCCAGGACAGCCAGGGCTATACAGAGAAACCCTGTCTCAAAAAAAAAGATGCAGCCTTGATCTATGAAAAGGCACTTCATCCTCGAAAAAAAAACAAAAATAAAAAGTACAGTATACAACACAGGCACCGTTAATTTCATGAGCAAACACAACTGTGCTAGTGTAGACTATTGTGAATTGCAGTTTACTTTTAAGTCTGTTTCATCTTAAGACTGTAAATCCTGATTCCCCACTTTTCTTTTAAAACACAGGGTCTATGTAGCTCTCAGTAACCTCAATCATAGCAATCCTCCTGCCTCAGCCTCCCCAGTGTGAAGATGTAAGGTTTATACTCCTCTCAGTTTGCTTCCCTTTCAAAGTCAGTACTAGGGTCTCAAGTGTACTCAGTGCTTCACCACTGGGCAGAGGGCTCCCACCAAAGTATAGCCCTGCCTTTGATCAAAACAAACACGAAAGGGTTCTTACCCTTAATTAGACCACCTTACTCTGAATGAGAGCTTGCTTTGACAAACTTAATGATGCAGCCTTGAGCCAGGCAGTGGTGGCACACGCCTTTAATCCCAGCACTTGGGAGGCAGAGGCAGGATTTCTGAGTTTGAGGCCAGCCTGGTCTACAGAGTGAGTTCCAGGACAGCCAGGGCTACACAGAGAAACCCTATCTCAAAAAAAGATGCAGCCTTGATCTATGAAAAGGCCCTTCATCCTCCTCACTGCAGTCTCTCTCCAAGCAACAGAAACAGCCCTGCAATGTACTACTTATAAAATTCTATTTGGCATGGTTTTGTTGCTGGTTTTATGTGTTTATGCAGTCCTGTGTGATTGACAGCTTAGACAAGTGTGCTACTGAGCTAAAACTTCCCAACCCCACACACAATCAATCAGTTTTGCCATGTTTGATAATTTGGCCAATCAACCACCCACCAAAAACAAAACACACACGCACAAGAAAAAAAAAACCCTTTAAATAAGCCACTTCGTTGCTGTTCAAATTAAGGTCTGTATGAAGCACACACAGGATCGGGTCTGGAATTCCTGATCCTGCTGTCTCAGCTTCCCAAGTGCCAAGATTGGAGCAATGTGCTAACTGGATATAGCTCTACCATTTCATCTGATTTTTACAAATACCGTAAAACACTAAATACTTACCTAGATGAAGAACAGGATCCAAAAAAACCTGGCATTTTGCTTATGATAGGGTCTAACTATGTAGCTTGGTAAACTTAGAACTGTCTCTGCCTCATGAATACTGAAATCATGTCCACGACCATACCTGGTACCAGCTCAATCATCTTAACTTAAAACTAAGATTAATCCGTGACATATCAAAAGCATTCAGAGTTTTCATGATACAACACAACCTTTCGATAACTTGTGTTCAAGTATTAAAACTGAATAGTGTTGCCTCAAACACCAGGTAAAGTGGAGAACTTAAAATACTGGCTTAGGACTCAGCTCAATACTGTTCCAGTACAAATAAGCAGGTTTGACTAGAAACCTAAACCCTTTGCAAACGAAGACCTGACACAATTCACAGAACCTATTAGCACACGTGCCATCACTATGAAGCTGTTGAAGGCACCTATCTACCTCCTTCTTGTTTAATGTGATGAATTAATTCCCTGTCTTGAAATAAGATATAAAACATGTGCCGGGGGGAAATGTGCATGCATTTATTTTTAAGAATTCCCAATAAGGGGGAAAATTCAACATCTTTAAAAATGTGTTTATTTTTTAAAAATTCAGTTGTATACAAAAGTGTTTCGTAGTTTTTAATTCTCAAGACAGACGCCCAACCCTCCACCCTCAGCCCACCCTGCTTCAGTGGTATTTCTGGTAACCAGCCCATGTTCCCCTTACAGGAAGTTAATGGCTCAGAATAGACCCTCCTACAGAATTTACCATCACTAACAAACTGTTTAGAGATCTAAAGAAGCTAACAAGCAAGGTTCTTTCAAAGTGAGGTTAATGAAAATCCCTATAATGGCAGTAACTTCCAGCAGACACCACGACAAAGCACCATCAAATGCTGAAAGCTAAAAAATAGATATTATTTTCAATATTTCATTTTCTATTGGAAAAGTCTTTCAATTACATTAAGTCTCTTTTCCCACAAAGACATTGTCTAGCTTTTATTACGATGCCTGTAATAAGTTGACAGTGAGCAGACACGATCGGAAAAAAGCACAGTGCAATGACTTGATCCACTTGCCTCAGAACCAAACAGACCTGTGCCACATCTGATCACAGATAGCAGCCTGGTGGGAATAACCAAGCCAGAGGCAACACAATCATGACACCATCCGGTGTGACCGCAGGCTTCGGGGTTTCTAGCAGTCTAAGAAAGGAGTAGCAAGATAGGTTAAGGGAGACAGCAACACCCTGAAAACCTCTGCTGTAGGCTTGTCCTCTGTCCTGCATCGATGCAAACAGTGTATCAGTATGTCACAACGTATGTAGACACGAAGTCATGCTTGAGAAAACTATTCCTCAGTGACACCAACAGGCTGATGGGGACACACTTAAACAGGTACTAGAAGATGTAAATGTAATTTGAAACAACTCCTTGGAACTACAAAAAAATAATACAGAACCATTTTTATCAAAGTCCATGAAGTAAAGTTGACTATTACAGACACCTTCCTTTCCCTATCTAAACACTGATTCTATCTATGTACACTATACCTGACTCCACTGTTCGCTTCCCAAATTCATCTTAAACCCTTACTCTACCAAAACTTCATTTCCATTACCACTACACTAGATTGCAAAAAACATCTACCTCTCCTGCAGTTTTAAAAGCTGTGTGAAGCCTACCCTCACAACCAACCGGGCTACACTTTCCACATCTGTAAACTTGTCCGACAGCTTAGCCAGTAATATATAACACACAGTTCTACAGTGAGCAAAACTTACTGTCAATTCCTTTCTGCAGATAATTTTTTTTGCATAGTGTTAAATGCCACCAACAATCAGAAATATAAAAAATTTCAAAAAAATGTTTTAATCTCATTGGATAGGTTAGTTACACTTTTCAAAGGCAAAATACCCGATTCCAAACATTTATGTTTTTTGAATTCAAAGTTCCCAACATGCTCTCTAAGTTTTATACTAAAAGTCAAGCATAGGCTCAGAAAAGAGGCTGGATTATGTAAACGACTATCAGAGGATGAGCAAGTACTAACTAAGGAATCTTCCTGCTCTAAATGGGATTTCAATAAAATTACGGGAGCAGGGGGTTAACACAGGACACACCTCCCACAAGGTAGCTCGGAGAATCTGCCTGCCTTTCTCTTTCAAGAGCCTGGGAGTAACAGCGCCACCGCTCCTAGACCACAACAGAACCTTTCTAGGACTTGTTAAGATGATAAACTGTCAAATGCAGAATTAAAATAACAATTTCCATCAGGGTAAATTTTTAGTATTGTCTTGCAACAATATTGTATGTAAAACCAGGATAAAACCTGAACTGCTACTTCCTGATGAGCTATACCTACAAGTTGGGAAGTTTAAAAAAAATATATATTTTAAAAACAAACAAACAAACAAGAAAATAGTGAGGAAACCCAGAGAAAGGCTTTTATCACATTAAATGAACATGAAAAACCCCGAGCAGTCTTGCTTATGAAACCCAGACAGTCTTGAGCTCATGGTTCTGACACGTAAGTGCTAGGATCGCAAGAGATGATGGCATCATCATGTAAAATCTATGAAACTACATGTTATATATACATCTCCTGTTTCCTAGGTACGAGGAACACATAAATGTTTAGTGGAACCAGTCTGAAGCCAATATGCAAAAAAAAACACACAAAAAAAACAAAAACAAGAAAACAGAGCAAACAAAACAACAACAAAAATACATAAACATAGCTGCATCCAAAGCAGAGTAGGTAATGCTTGGCTCTTGTCACCTACCTCTAACCAGACAATATACCCTGATATATACAGGCAGGGAGGAAACGCCAAGAAAGTGTTTATGCTTTTCAATACCTCTGTTAGTGTTGCCAAACCACCCTCCATTAAAAAGTCCTAGCCAACAGTGGAGGTAAACTGTCTGTTATTTCACACATTTTCATCTTATCTGAGAATATAAAGAAAAGTACAAAGTTTTAGCTATTTAAATAAATAAAGAAAACCTTGTGTCCTTTGGCATCTTTATAAAATAACCTACAGCAATAAAAGGATGGAGCTGCAACAAGCAGTGAGTGCATCCGCAAACATGGAGACCGATATGGCAGGTTGGGTCTAGTGTGCAGGAGCAGTGACCCTCGGGTCACTGTCAACTGTGAAAGCCTTACAAGTGGCTGGAAGAACCTTCACATCGCTAATGGTCTATTAATGGTTCTTTTATTGCTTGTAGTATCAAGATTATTAAGTCAAATGAAGTTATGCTGAGTTAATAGGTTCAAAAAGTATTTTTGAAACACTTCATGACTATAAGGTGAATCAACACTTCAAGAAAACAAACCTTTTAGAATATGACTTTCAATATACATACAGCCTTACTTTAATTCAGTCTGATTCCATTACATTTCTGTAATTGATGCATTGGTCTCAAATTTTTTAACTGTTATCTCCTATGTAACAATTGCCTATATAAATTCACTTGAACCTTAATTAAGATGGTTAAATTAAGTATTTGCGTTTGCAAAACTAAAATTTGTCAAGCTCCGGAACGTAGAATGAGATGCGACAGTTCGTAAGGACAGGAGTCTATGTACAAGAGAAGGTAAAGTTTCAACTCTCACATTATCAGAAACATCATAAAGAAAGCTAGATTGAGAATATACCCCTGGTCCTATGTGCATCTGGTATGTACAGTGAGATACTACAGCTTTCATGTGTCACCATGGGGAGTGCAGAAAGAGGAACTCAAGTGTCTGACAGACACGGCCACACCCTCGTCAGGCCGGGCTGGGCACTGGGGACAGGTGCTGCACCCTTCAAGTTTCCAAAGACGATCATTTTAAAAACTAATGTCAAATTCACTGAAAAACTAAGCAGTGTCCTTTTATTAAATCTAGAAATACTGCAACATCAAGTATTTTGTATTACTCCTTTTGTAAGAGAAATAAAATTGGCAGCCCCTTTTTACATTACTACTTACAAAGTGAAGGACTTGGACAAAACATTCCAAACCTATGAGCTAAAAGCGGAACGAGGGACACTGTTCCCACCAAACACAAAAGAAATTGACCATGAGAATCTCCACTCTGGATGGTGACGGGGAAAAGTAAGAGTGTCCCTATCAGTTCACAGGGACGAAAAGCTCTGATTAGGTCACCATCTTTAAATCAGGATAAATCTCATAATTCAAGAATGTCCTAATGCTTAAAAGGGTGGTCTTTTCAGCTACCCAGTCTAAGAAGTCAAGTACAAGCATGCAAGTAAATTCACAGGCACAGAGGCTCCGTGTTCACACTTAAGGGAGCTGTGAGGCTACCACAATCTGAAGGGCCGACACTCAGTGTTATCCTAGTCAATAGAACCCTGAAGCAAACTCGCACTCTGTTACACTGCTAAACACTAAGTAGCATGTTTTCCCATGGTTTTAGCTTAGCTCAGAGAATTTTTACACTATTAAGAAAAAAATTAAAGTATTTCCCCTTTTTAAATTTACACAGACGTTTAATTAGCTTTATTTACAGAGCAGGGAATTTTTTTTTTTGCAGTCTCCAATGGTGCCTAGATAACATCATTAGGCAAGAATGCCAGTTTAAAAGAAATTTATGCAGAATCCTAAAAATAACAGGTGCTGATGCTCCTTGGGAAGAGGCGAGCGTCGCTGGCGGCAGCTCCTGTGCCTCAGTTACTCAGAAGCAGTTCTGTTGCAGTCTCTACATCCCATGATTTTGAAGACAAGGCCACTATTACTGCGTTCTGTAAAGAAGAGGACAAGAGCAATCACATCCCACGGAAACTAAAACCTCCTCTCTTCACTGAGAATCATGGATTCTTCCCTCTACCAAGGACTGGAAATAATCATCACTGATTCTAATAACAAAACACTATTAACAAAAACTGGATTTTTAAAATTGCTAGAGCCCTTGTCTCAAGGCCTGGGCTCAGAAGTTTAAAGTGGGTAGTCAAACCAATCCCTCTAGTACTTACCCTATCAAAACCCATAGCACAGAGGTTTTCTATTTTTTTGGTGTATTCTGGACTAGAAACTGGTGCTCCAGCATACACGTGTGCCCAAAGTCGAGCTGTCTGCTTGAACATTTCAGGATTTTGTTTGTACTATATGGAGGGAAAAAGCAGTTAACAAGACAATACAGTGGAAGTTACCATAGCTGTTCAACTATGACTTGTTTGTTCCAAAGAAAATACATTTATATTTAAGATGTAACTCATTTGGCCTGGGCTGTGGAGATCAATAGTAGTATTAGCTTAGTAACCCCAAGTTCAGAAATTCAATTACCAGCACCATGTACCAAAACACAAAAGGTAATTCATTTTCCATTGCAGAAATGTCATTCAAGAAATGAAGCTTTGTGACAATAAAAAACAAAGTTAACACTCTTCAAGCACCTAATATTAAATGAACTTAAAATGTTCTAATCATTGTACAGCAAATTACACAAGTAAACAAAATCAGTGGCATGTAAATGCAGTTTGATAAACATTAGCTGATAAATATAACACTGACTGATAAATATAATCAATTCTGCTGCTAGGCAGAACTCAAGCCGAGACAGCTAGATGCTCTTAGAGCTGTACTGGAATCAAAGGAAACCCAACACTCAAAAATCTAACTTCCATTACTTTTGAGGCCAACTTAAAAACTCACAGAAGAGTCCTTCTAGATAGTAAGAGCTGCCACATGAAACTGGAAAAAAGTGAGGTAAATTCATTTGTAAAAAATACTTGTAAAACAAAGTATGAAGTAATGACTTCATTTTAATATTTCTTATCAAAGTACTATTTTTAAATTTTATTTTTGTACATTTGTGTATATGCACACGTGTGGAAATGCCCAGGAAGGCCAAGAAGAGGACAGTAGTAAGCTGGCAATGTGGGTGCTGGGACCTAATCTCTGTCCTCAGAATGAAAATAAAGGACTATGCATCTGAGTCGTCCAGAACAGAAGCTGACATTGCAAACAACACAAACATTATTTTAGGTGTTTAAAGTCAGCTCTGGAAGCCAAGAGATGGCACGGCGGTTAAGAGCACTGGCTGCTATCCCATAGGACCGGGGTTCAAGTCCCAGCACACACACGATCCTGTACCTCCAGGATCCAACACTCTCACAGAGACATACATTCAGGCAATGTGCATAAAGTAAATAATAATTTTTTCAAAAGTCACCTTTTATTTTTATATCTCAATTTTTAGGAAAATCAAAGGTAAACTTCAAGAAAGACTTCTGCTACCAAATATTAATGAATATGTGCAAGCTGTAGAGCCAAGAACTTTTTAAGTCTAGCAGTGGAACTAAGGAAGCATGAACAAAAAGAATAAGCACATATGTATTTAAATTGAAGCCATAAAAGAAGGCCTGGAAAGACGCTCAGAACACTTGCTGTTCTTCCAGAGGACCAGAAATCAATTCCCACCACCAACATTAGCCTTTCAACTTGAGGGTATCCAGAACCTTCCTCATACATCCACAGGTAAGTAAATGTACCTGGAGACACATGAACAGAATTTTAAAAGTAAGTCTGTTGTTTTAAAAGACCATAAAGATAAAGAAATCTGACCCCCAAAAAATGTCTCAGCAGCTAAGGACACTAGTAACAAGGACGTAACAGTTGTCTTTTGACCTAAAGACACATGCTGTGAGGCACACATCAAAAAATCACATTTTTAAAAATTATTTTCATTTCATGTGCATTATATTTTGTCTGCATGTATGTCTCTGTGAAGGTGTTGCTTCCCCTGAAACTGGAGTTACAGGCTGTTATGAGTTGCCACGTGGGTGCTGGGAATTGAGCCTGGGTCCTTTGGAAGAACAGCTAGTGCTCTTAAGTGCTGAGCCAAATCTCCAGCCAAAGAGAGCACATTTTATAAGCACATTTTTAAAACTTTGAAGTTTGGCTGGTAAATGTTTCCTTAAAGAGGAAGGAAAACAGAATGCATTGACATAAAAATGACTAGGATCTCAAAAATTCATGAACTGAAAGAATAACAGTTAAGCGTTCGTTCAAGAAGAGCTTAGATCATGAAGAACCTCTACAAGGCAGACATCTGGACAGAAGTGACAGTGGAGCTCCTAACTAGCACTTGCTTATTCTGTTTGTTATTTGTTTATTATGTGACATAATTTTATTATATGTGACAATATTATTTTATTAAAAGGAACTATTTCCAAATTTAGTCCCAATATACGCTGACATCAAATATAAACCCTGCACACACAGGTCTGAGAAAGTCTTCCAAAAGCTGCTCTCTTACCTGATTCGCTACTACTGCATCCTGGGGGTCATCCGGCTCTGCAGCTGCCAACAGTGCTTGCAATGACAATAATACCGTGCGCAGAGTCATTGCTGCTGCCCTACATTTCAAATCAGGAAAGTATCCCAGTTACAAGGACTTTAAATAATATAAACAAAATCTGTTTTTTGAATTGAAACAGAAATATACTAGAACAAACGTGTATAATTGCCAATTTTTTTTTACAATGAGTCAATTTCTAAGACAATTCAAATCACCTCATCCTGACCTGACCTTGTTTTCTCTCCACGTGTTCCATTTACCAACCTTGTAAGCTTTATCTACTCACTTTAGTCTTAATTAATTTTCTTCTTAGATTTTTGTGTGTGAGTTTTTGTCTCCACATATGTATGGTGCTAAATGTCTGGTGCCCATGGAAGTGATAACTGGAGTTAGAGATGCTTATGAGTCACTGTACGGATGCTGGGAACCAAAGCAAAGTACTCTGCAAGAACACATGCTCTTAACCACTAAGCAATCTTTATGAAACAATTATTTGCTTACAATTTGCTTCACTAATAGTGAAATATGTACAATGCTAACAGGGCAGTGATGGGATGGCACATGACACTTGGGAGCCAGAGGAAGGTGAATCTCTGAGTTCAAGGCCAGCCTGGTCTCCAGAGCTAGTTCCAGGACAGCCAGGGCTACAAAGAAATCCTGTCTCAAGAAAATAAAATTAATAAATAAAATAAAAATAAATACAACACAAATATATTTTGAAGAATCTAACAGTAAATTCTTGTTGAGGTATTAGGCTGTCATCCTAAGGGCCTTGTAAAAGCAAGCACACTGCTTTTTAGCCCCAGTAAGCTCAACTTTTAACCACACAAATCGTTTTCTAAACAAGCCTTTTCTGGTTGAGTTCCTAATTCATAAAATCAAACAAACAAAACTCCCTCTAAACTATTCAGTTTCCATGTACACATGAGGCCATCCTAGATGTATTTTTGGGGGGGTGGGAGGTGGTGGCAGAGAGGGAGAGAAAGAGGGGGGAGGGAGGAGGAGGAAAGAGAGAAAAATACTCAACTTATTGGTAGAAGCATATGAAGCAATGAGATTCAGTAAATGTTCCTCCTCTGACTAGTGGCATGAACAGGACTGGGGACTTGGTTTGGGTAACAGAGTCGACTATGTTATCTTAAGACAGATGAAAAGCAGAATCCTCCTGTCTCTTCCTTCCAACTGCAAGAACTTTAGGACTATATTACTCATGCTCATAGGACTTAGGAGTAAAGAAATGAGCATTTTCCTCACCCAACAACTGCTCAATTAGAAATTAGGAGTATCTGGCCAAATAGTCCAAAGAAATGACAAAAGACAGTATTTGTAGAATACTGTTTTATATGCTAATTGGCAACAGCTGTTCTACACCAATAAAATAAGTTTCATACACAATGTAGGTCTATATTTCATACATTAAAATATTCACTATACATCAGTCTCTAAAATGATCTTAAGAAAGCCAGCATGGTAGCATAGATCTATAATCCTAGCACTTGGGAGATGAAGGCAGGAGGTCAAGTTCACCCTAATATAACACTAACCCTAAGCAACACTCAGTCTAATGTAAGGGCATTAAATTGCTTCTTTTAAGAAAGTAAAGTTTGAATAGTCAAGGAAAGTCAAAATATAAGAATCTCATATCAGCCGGGCATTGGTAGCACATGTGGTTAATAACATGACTTGGGAGGCAGACACAGGTGGGTCTCTATGAGTTCAAGGTCAGCATAATCTACAGAGTGAGTTCCAGGACAGCTGGAACTATACAGAGAAACCCTGTCTCAAAAACAAAGACATACAAAAAGAGAATCTCATATCCAACCAAATACATTCATAGTAACAATTTTAATTGCAATACAAATATAAAACATGCAAAATCTTATACATTAATAGAAAAAAAAGACCTAAACAAAAAACTTAGACTAAAACACAAGACATTGTATTTGACAATACTTTATTGGATAGAACAAAAGTACAAGGAACAAAGAGAGAAGAGAGTAAGAGCAGACAGACTATGAACACAGGGTGAAACAGAACATGCAGGAAGGAACGGGAAGAAGACATCTGCAGGTCCTTTTGTCTTGATAGTCTTAAAACTCACTATGTAGCTGAGGATGGCTTTGAACTTCTGACACCCCCTGCCTTCGGGCCCCTAACAGGTGGGAACGACCACACATGACTTTGTAAATCATGTATCTGTACCTTCAGGAGGTATTTCTCCAAAAATAAATAAAATACCATCTATTAGGCACATGAAAAATACAATCATTAAGGAAAGGCAAAACAAAACTACACATCTAGTAAGATGTTTAGCACAGGGGCTGGAGAGATGGCTCAGCGGTTAAGAGCAGTGACTGCTCTTCCAGAGGTCCTGAGTTCAAATCCCAGCAACCACATGGTGGCTCACAACCATCCGTAATGAGATTGGATGCCCTCTTCTGGTGTGTCTGAAGACAGCTACAGTGTACTCATAAATAAAAAAATAAATAAATCTTAAAAAAATAAAAATAAAAAAAAAATAAAAAAAAAAGATGTTTAGCACAGGCTAGGTACAGAGTGGCACATGCACTCAGGAGGCAGGGGTACATAGAGTTCTTTTGAGATCCAGGCCAGCCTGTTTTAGAACAGCCAGGGTTACACAGAAAATCCCTGTCTTCTCTAAAGAAAAGGAAAAAGAAAAAAATAAGCAGATACTTACTATAAAAACAAAAAACAGAAAATGACAGTTGCCAGTAATGATATATAGGAATTTTAACTCATTCAATGTAAGTAGAAACAGATGGAAGTTCCTCAAAAAATTAAAGTTAATCCAACTATTCTAATTTTGCAAAGAATCAATGAAAGGAAAGCAGACCTCACCATTCATTCACACACTTATACACAACTGACCAAAGGTGGAAGCAGCAGTTTCCATTAAGAGATAAATGGAAAAACAAAATATTTTAGTTTAAATTATTTTACTTTAAAATATAATCTTGTGACATGTGTGATGCTACCATACTGGTAAACCTTAAAATTATATGAATTTACATAAACCAGACATATAAGGTCTAATTACTTTATGATTCTAATGTAAGGCAGCTAGAATATTCAAATTTAGTTTTTATCTTTTAGGTTAGAAAAAAATTCTCGAAATGATCTGTATAAGGTATATATAAGCAATCATAATTTAACCACTTAAAAATGGACAGGATCATACAATGTGCCCCTTCAGGATACTCCTTTTGAATTTGGGAAAGGTTACCACACAGTGGTGACAAGGGCCATCTGCCACTAAGGTGGTGGCACACAACCAAGATATGCAAAAAGACTCATGGTGTGGACCTCAAAAATTAATTACTCTGTGTACACGGAGAAGTGAAAACTGCCAAGAAGGAAGACAGGGACAAGGGTAACAGAGCTGTCTGGGCTGACTATGCGGTATGCCTAGCATGTGTTAAGGAGGAAGACTCAAACCATGCCTGAGAGTTTTCACACTGGCTGTGTTGAATGTATTTCAAACTAGATAGACTCAGGTTTGAACACTTGGTCCCCAGTTGATAGCACTGAGTGAAGTTGATGAAAATGTTAGAATTTAGAGCCTTGCTGGACAACGTAGTCACTAAACCCACAAGACAAACACTTTCATTTCTGAGTTGTTCATGGTCAGTCACCATATTTTATCACATCAACAGAAAACTGATATATTCTATTTTCCTACCACCTTTTAAAACCTAGAACCGTCAATGTGGGCAAGAACTGTTACTTGCTGAAGTTATAAAACCAAAGACGAAGTTAGAGTGATTTGTATCCTCATGTTCAGAGAGAGACCCTGTTTCAAAAGGCACTGACAGTAATGGCATGATATCCAAAGCCTACTTCTGGCTTCCTGTCTCAAAAAGGGCAAAAAAAAAAAAAAAAAAAGGTTGTCACAAACAAACAAATAACTAAATGGGTGGGTAAATGAGGAACAATGAAAACATGAAGTTGGGAGAACATGGTGCCGAGATATTCAGGAAGTTGAAGGGGAGAAATAGAATCATATTTCAATGTATACATATGTATTATGTTTTAAAAAATAATACAAGTTGGGCAGTGGTGGCACATGCTTTTAATCCCAGCACTTGGGAGGCAGAGGCAGGCGGATTTCTGAGTTCAAGGCCAGCCTGGTCTACAGAGTGAGTTCCAGGACAGCCAAGCTACACAGAGAAACCCTGTCTCCGAAAAAAATGATAATACTAACCAGGCATGGTGGTATACCCTTAAATCCCAATAACAAGGAAGCAGAGGCAGGCAGGACTCAGTTTCAGCATAGTCTGGTCTATATAGTGAGATTCTGCCTCGATGGATGGATGGATAGATGGATGGACAAGAGACAGATAGCAAACAAATCCATACATAAACAGTGTAATAGTAACCAATGACATACTAGATGACACTTAAAGACTACAAAACTTTATCTTTGAATAGAATTAATGCTATTTTTTATTGTTTTAGATTAATCTTTAAAATTTAAATTTGTTAATGTGAAAATTTAAGTTGAGAAAAAAAACTCTTACATTCTGTTCATTCTTGTCTCAAGTGCTGATTACATCGGCACTTCACTGAGATTTTCAGGATTTCATATGCATAATTAATCCTATTTTTCGAAGTACTAAACTTCAAACAGGAATATAAAATTCCAAGATGCATTCGTTTGGAGACAACAAAACAGCTCAGCAGGTAAAGGAACTTACAGTGCAACCTAGCAACTAAATTCTATGCCCAGGTTGCTTTATTGTAAAATGGCCTGAGTAAGGCCGAGTGAGAGACTGGGAGGGGACAGCTCCTATAAGTCATCCAGACAGAAGGTAAAGTTGAATGTGGGTCAAAGCAATAGTAAGTCAGATGCTTGTGAGATGCAAATCTTATCCTCATATTTGTAGACAAGGTACACAACAACAGAAAAAAAGACAGACTAAGCTAGATACAATAGCACAGCCTTTAACCCCAGTACTTGGGAGGCAGACAGACAGACAGACAGATCTCTCTGTGAGTTTGAGACCAGGCTGGTCTACAAAGGAAATTCCAGGATAGTGAAGTCTATACAGTGAGATCCTGTTTCAGTGATTAAAAAAAAAAAGATTCCAAAAAGAGGAAGACTATGGAAATAGCAAAAGGATTTTTCTGTTTACTTATATGTATAGGTGTTCTGCCTGAAGCTTACCGGCAACCATGAGTGATCTAAGCACTCCCTAAGCCAGAAGAGGCTATCAAAGCCATCACACTACACTATGTGGGTACTGGAAAACAGCCAGTGTTTTTGACCCCTGAGCACCTCTCCTCTGCCTCCTGCATGCTGAGATTTAATTTATAAATTAAAAAAAAAAAGGAAGAGCGGGTTTGAGGTGGTCATTTTACCACAGTTAAAATGTTCATTACCTAATTCACATGCAGATAATAAATAAGCAGATCTCACCATGAGCTTGAACTATAAAAAAGATGGCTCTGTGGGCAGAAGCAGCACTAGCTTCCAAACCTTGACAGGTCTGATGTGGTCAGGGGATACCAACTACAGGAAGCTGTCCTCTGCTCTCTCCATGCTCTACGCACTTACATACGCACAAATACACCAATGTTTAAACATGTAAAAATACATAGCAGTAAATAAAGAGGATATTTGTAACTCTGCAGTTTGTAATTGGGAAAATATGAAATTAGAGTTCATCAAGAAGCAAAGATGAAAAAGATTCTGGAACTGATCTCTGCAGATCCTCATGTACAAAGACCCAGGAGACACAGAAAAAACTCACAGGTTATGAAAACACAAGGAAACCCAGAATGAACGTCCTGGAAGCAAACTGAAAACAGATCATCTCTAATTATACAAACGTGCACTGACGTCTGAGTCACGAAGGTACAGAGGCTGCAACTACTTCCCTTTGGTGATGTCACGTTATTTTCTTCTTTCCCTTCCAAAGCAGAGTTTCTCTAAATAGTGAGGAGTAGCTTCAAACTTTACAATCACCAAACCGCAGCCTCCCAAGCACTGGACTCACAAATGTGAAATATCTTACTCAAATTCACTTTATAATTCTGGACAGTTTTTCCATTAGTAAAATTATATACTAATTATGGATGCAAAATTAATGTCTAAAGCTACACCATCAGATTAATCAGTGCTAAAGTATGCCAGCTTCATTCTAAAAACATTACATGTCTCTGAGGCCAATGTGTACCTCATTAGCTTCATCTCAAAAATGAGAAAGCTAAGAGGCACAAATCTGCTTAGAACCACGGAGCCTAACAGGTAGAAGGGAGACTGAAACTGGACGGCTACAACAGGAAATCTTAAGTACTCAGCAGCCCCCAGGAGGGATGAGTACACTCCTAAGGGTAAGGCAGGAGAAGCTCAGTTCAAAAACTAGCTTGGGCTCCACAGCTAAATCTTCTTTTAAAAGAAAAAAAAAAAAGTGTGTTGTGAATGCACATGTCAGCATGTGTGTGGACAACAGTGAACTAGTTCATCATGTGAAGGTGCCTGCTACTTCCCACTGCTCAATCCTGAGAACTACAAAGTGCAGTGTATAGACTCCTGCAGGTTATAATCTGGCCTCCATAAATGTCATGTAGCATGCACACATGCATGCATGCACACACACACCAAAACCAAACTATGCAAATAAAATGAAGAACGAGGCAAGTGAAGTGAAGAAGTCTTTTTTTTTTTGGTTTGGTTTTTTCGAGACAGGGTTTCTCTGTGTAGCCCTGGCTGTCCTGGAACTCACTCTGTAGACCAGGCTAGCCTCGAACTCTCAAACTCAGAAATCCGCCTGCCTCTGCCTCCCAAGTGCTGGAATTAAAGGCGTGCGCCACCACCGCCCGGCTGAAGAAGTCTTACATAAAAGAAAATATTACTTGCAAAAATACCTGTAACACCTAAGAACCTCAATCTACTCCATCAATACAACTTTGGAAAACTTTTGCCTATATTTGGTCTCAAAGATAACTGCTTCATTGTGTTTTTGTCCATAATAAATACCTTTCTAAGATAACAAGGAAACTTACCAAAATAAAACAAAAATTTTTAATATAAATTAGTATTTGATATTACTTTAAAATATGTATCATGATCTCAATTAAAATATACTTTTTATTGGACTTAAGGGTATTTATAAATTAGTGTCTAAAGTATAACATACGTTTTGGGGAAATTAACATTTAACATTTGTAGTCTTGGTTCTCCTATGAGACAGAGAAGAGAGAGCAAATTCAGAGATCTCTTACCATTGATCTTTCAGGATATCCAAACAAATAGCCCCTGTGACGGAACTAATATTAGGGTGCCATATTTTAGTGATAAACCGGACCTAGAATATAAAGCACACTTGAGTTTTCAAGTAATACAGAGGAACAAAACGGAGGAACAAAACAAAACAAAAACCGGGGAAACAAACATGTAAAGGTACAATATACCTTGAAGAAAATGGTATCCCAAGATAAATGACATGACATACTTTTATGACATTCCAAGAAGGCATATAGAAAAAAGTCTTCAGTAGGTCAAATTTTAAGGTACATTCTGCATCTAACAAACTAACAAATTATCAGATATTTACTCTGTATCTAGTATGATGCTAGATATGAGAAATAAGAGACTATAAAACTCATTACATTAAAATAGCATGTAAAAGCAAACAGAAATATTAAACGATACCTACACAAGTATGAGGTGAAGTGCAAACCAGGCTTCAAAGAAAACTGGGTCCATGAGTACTAAAGGTTCATAACGGTCCTTAATTTGTCTATAAAGATTATTGACAAACATTCCCAGATAATTCAACAAATATTTGAAGGCCTACTACAAAGTGTCAAGCACTACTGACAAACTTTAGAGTTGAAAGAACTAAACTCAAGGTCAGTGTAGTAGCCCACATCTTTAATCCTCACAGTGGGGATCCAGAAGCAGACAGATTTCTGTGAGAATTTGAGGCCAGCCTGGTTTATATAGACAGCTCATACCAGCCAGGTCTACAAGAACAAAATAATAAAATATTTTCAATGAAGTCAATTATACCTACCCTCTGTGCACTGTTTATAGTCCTCTAAAGAAGGCCCATGCCAGTTTTTGTGATGGGCTTGGCTCACACTATTAGCACAGCTTTTGACCACAGCTTGGGGGACTATAAATCCTCTATCCTCCTCGCTGTCTCAGCATCCTTAGCTGCATTGTTCCTCCTTCCTCCATGCACTAGCGACGTCATCCTTTAGCCTCCATCTCCTACCACTTCCTCCTAAGTTACCGCACACTATCCTGTCCTTCTCCGTGTATAATTTTGACTTCAGAACTGTAATTTTTTTTCTGCCCTGTCTGGTCTTTTATTAATAAAAGGTTCTGCCTCCACTCACCGCTGGCTATGGCATCTCCAACACCTAATGTATCTCAAACTTAAAAACACACTTATTATTATGGCAGACTTGTTATCAGAAATAAACAAGAGCTCTTTCAAATACAGCCAGTGTGGAGTTAAGACATATAGAAACTATGCACAGTAACCATTTCTTTTTATTAGTTTTCTGATTTGTTTTGTTTTGTTTCCAGACAGGGTTTTCTGTGTAGCCCTAGCTGTCCTAGATCTCACTCTGTATAGCATGCTGACCTCGAACTCAGAGATCTGCCTCCCTCCCAAGTGCTGAAATCAAAGACATGTGCCACCACAACCTACCATTTCTTTAAAAAAAAAAAAAAATTTTTAATTTTTTGTGTGTGTGTGTGTGTGTCTGTGTGTGTGTGTGTGTGTGCGTGCGCGCACGCATGTATGTACAGAGTACCACTGGAGTTACAGGAATTGTAAGCTGCCTAACATGAGTGCCAAGAACTGAACTCAGGTCCTCTGGAAGAACAAGAGCTTTTAACTCATGGAGCCATCTCTCCAGCCCTACAGCAACTATTTCTTTGTTAGATATATAAGCATAAAATCTGCAACTTAGTATTTTCCAGTAAGTTAAACTTATAAAGACATCAAATAATCATTGACATTAACAGCAATAACTCAAGTAAAACATAGCATTCTGTAATTTTTATTTATTTATTTTGTGACAAAGTCTAATTATGTATCCCTGATATGCCTGGAACTCACTATGTAGATCAGGCTAGCCTCAAGCTTAAATTACAGATTTGCTTGCCTGTATCTCCCCAATACTAAGATTAAAAGTGTGCTCCATCACACCCAGCTACTTTGCATTCAGAAAGTGTTTCATCCTTTTCAACAAAAAAATAATATAAAGTATTTTTATTTTCTTTTAAGCTAATGACTGTAAACTCAGGAATCTCCTGACTCAGCCTCCTGGGTGGAGATATTTTAAAGTTGGACTAATATAACTAACTTCTATTTAAAAAAAAAAAAACAACATAAAAAAAGGATTTTAAATAACTACTAAAAGTGTCAGAGAGTACAGTTTAGGCAAGTGATCCCAGAACATGGTGTAGGGAATACCAGTGGCAAGAGCTCTAATCAATGAACTATGCTGCAAAGCACTCTATCTTTTTTTTTTAAAGGGGAAAGACATTTATACATTATTTCCTGAAACAATACATGTACAGAACAGTCAATAGGACCAAGGAAATTGTTAAATTAACTTTTATACTGACATTCTACTTTCCTGTGACAGAATTGAGATGATACAAAGACAATTTTCCTCAAGACACTCAATTATCATCTCTCATACAGCAGGGACACACTGATGAGACACTGGTGCACACAAGCATTCTGTCCCCAGGCTTTCCACGCCACTCTTCTGGGCCCAATTTCTCCTGTCTCTATAATTCCTAAACTAAGTTAAACAAAAATTTAAAACAAAACAAAAAAGGTTGGCGGGGATGAGGTAAAAAAAAATCGAGCCAGGTGGATGACACGCCCTAGAGGGTCGGCAACTGGTAGGTAGGAGTAGAAGTATCATGAGCTAAAGGTCATCATCATCAGTTATGCAGAGTTCTAGGCCTGCCTAGGCTACTTTAGACTCTCTAAAAAACAAAAACACGTGTCAGATATGACACATGCTTTAATCTCAGTCAGTAAAAAAATAAAAGCACACACCAGATGTTCACGCTTTAATCCCTGAGCTTGGGAGGCAGAAACAGCTGGGTTGCTGAGAGTTCCAGGCAAGCATGGCTTACATGCCAAGCCAGATATACATAGAGAGAAACTGTGTCAAAACAAACAAGCAAGCAGACAAACAAAATAGGATCTGCTGAGATGGCTCAGTAGTTACAAGATATGGCTGAGGCAGATCTGGTGGTAGCCACACCTTCAATCCTAATACTTGGGGGTGGGGGTGAGGGGAGGGGCAGGAAGAGAAAGGCGTGCCTCTAAGAAGTCAACATGGTCAACATAGTCAGACAAATGCCACCCTGTGTGTTTTATTTGGTTTGGGGGTGGGTTTTTTTTTTTTTTTTTTTTTGGTCCCACTATGCAGCTTTGGCTACCGTTAACACAGGGATCCATCTGCTGTGGATCTGAAATGCTGGAATATACGACAGCAGCCCATGAGACTCTTGAAAACAACAACAAACTTTGTGCTGTGAGGCCTGCAAGCATGGCCAAATCCCCATAACTTATGAAGAGTGGAAACAGAACTCAATCTAAAAGTTGTCCTCTGACCTTCACATATACAGCACAGCAGAAACACACAATAATGGTAATTTTAGCAAACAGTACAGTAACAATGCTTTTTTAAAACTGCATCCTATTCTAAAGAAACACTTAAGTGATTTATAGTATTCTAGTACTATAATACACTAATGAAAACTTCAAGTCTCCTTATTTTTACATAAAGAAAAGGCATTAGCACCACGTGTGAAATTCTAAACTCAGTAGTTGTAGGAAGTGTTCATCTGCTATACAAAAATCTTAATACTATATATACAGAGGATAATAAAATGTTACCAAACATGGAAAACACTTCTTAACATCTATACTGGCAGCCAGCATCAGCATTCTTACTTCTTCCTACAATGCAGTCTTCATTTCCCTCATAATTTTCACTCAACAAATACTATGGCTCCTATTTCATGTCAGATGCAAGTTCACAATGTCACTGTTAAGTTTAATGAAAAACCTTAAGTAATATTACACTTACTCCAAAATGGAAAATACTTCACTCATATAAAAGAAAATATTCCGTTAATTTAAAACAAGCAGGCCCATTCATTAAAGATTAGTATTGGTATTTAATACTCAACTTCACAGCTAGACAAAGGGCACAGTAGTTGATATAACTGGTCACTCTCTCAGAGAACCTGGGTTCAATTCTGAACACCCAGATATTTCTTTTTTTATTTATTTAATTTTTTTTTCAGAGCTGAGGACCGAACCCAGGGCCTTGCGCTTGCTAGGCAAGCGCTCTACCACTGAGCTAAATCCCCAATCCCTGATATTTCTTTTTTTAATGAACTTTATTTAAATAAAGTCACCAAAGGCTTAGATCTTTATTTACTTTTATTTTAATGTATCCAGATGTCTTACATGCATGTATCTCTGTACACTGTCTATTGCTGGTGTCCAGGAAGACTAAAAGGCGGCACTGGATCCTCTGAACTGGAGCTGCAGATGTCTGTGAGCGCTGGGACTCAGAGCCAGATTCTTTAGAAAAACTGACCTACCTCTCTAGTCCCCTCACAACTATTTCTAACTCCAGTTCCAGCAGAGGGATATAAGACCCTCTTCTGACTTACAAGGGCACACACATAGATGCAAACCCAACACCCATACATATAAAATAAAATGTGTTTTTTAAAGTATTCACTACTTATTTCATATATTAAAATGAAATATGTTTTTGCCAGGTGGTGGTGGTGCGTGAAATTAAACCCAACACTCTGGAGGCAAGAGCAAGCGATCTCTGAGTTCAAAGCCAGAAGAGTGTCTATAGAGCTAGTTCCAGGACAACTGAGGCTACACAAAGAAACCCTGTCTCAAAAAAAACAAAAATCAAAACAACAACAAAAAGGTATGTCTTGATGTCACAGAAAAAAAAAAAAAACAACCTAAATTTCAATATGTAACAAAAGAAATCACTGTGATAGTTTGAGTAAGTTACTCTTCTTATTAATAGCTATCTACAGTACAACTGACTCTAGGAAGGACACTAGAGATGATCTCAATTCCTTCCTTTTTGATCCAAAGATTATTTTCTGCTCTTCTTCTAATCAATGATTTAAGATAGAATAAAAATAAAATCCTATTTCTCCATTTTAAGATAAAGGAATCAATGTTTTTTGAAACTTTTGCTACATAGTATAGGCCTCTGTTTACTCCTGCAGCCCTACAAGGACATACAAAACTCACAGCCCTCAACACTATACTACTTTTTTTCTTTAAGGGCGGAAAAAAAAAGGTGAGCTGACCAGGAGGCAGGTGCATCTCCAAGTTAAGGCCAGCCCCACCTTCAAAGCAAAAGCTGATCCTCTGCAAGAACAAGTGCTCTTAAACCACTGAGCCACGTTTCTAGCCACTTTGTTTATTACATACTTAAATACATAAATTAAGCATGCTAAGCATTAATAACAAAATAGAAGTTATAATAATGTATTATAAGAAGTTATTTTTAAATTAGAAAAATTCTAAAAATTTCCATTTGACACTCAATAATTTGTGATTGTCCACAGGATATATTATAGGTAGGAGTGCTCTTCTGTGATTAACAAGGCATGGCCATGCAATTCCTTTGAAACATTACCGACCATACAGGTAAAACATCTTAGTATAATTCATAGTACTAACGTGTACAACTGGAGTCAATGATACCTTGCTTGCTTGCCATTTGTAAGATCCTAAGTTACATGTCAAAGATTGCCCAAAAATGGGGAAAGCAGCAAGATTTCAAATACTTAGTATAGTTATGCAACCACATTCTTGTTTGGTAGTAGCATTAGTAGTCAAACACAGAACCTTACACATGCTTGGCAAGTGCTCAAACAGCTATATTCGCTAGTCTGGTACTGAGTTGCTCATACTAACTGGGGATGCAAGTAGCTATATCCCCAGCTAACCAGTATCTAATTCCTAACTTATTTTTACTGTATCAAGAGGAAACCCTGGGGAACAGCACAAGGCCCCTGGTTCAACCTGAACAAAACAGAAGTAAAAAAGGAAAATGAAAGCAAAGTGCTGAGGACATGAGCCAGTGGTAAAAAGCAACTGCTGCAAAAGCATGAACACACACACGCGCGCACACACACACGCGCGCGCGCGCGCGCGCACACACACACACACACACACACACACACACACACACACACTCACTCACTCACAGGTGGAGATAGTGATATTTTGTTCTTATTCCTTCTTCACCAAGATCACAGAAGGACAGTCAGTCCAACAGCCTAACATACAGACTACCAAATCCTTAGAATCTGGATACTAGTTAACCTCTTAACCTAATTCGTCTTACCTATTAGAGCTAATAGTTGTTATAGGAATTAGGAAAAAATTATTAGCACAAATTAATATCCATTATTATCATTATATTAATACTGAAAATGCAGTGTCTCTAACACTGATTTCTTCCTCCCTTTTTTGTTTGGGAAAAAAATAAAATAAACCTTATGAACTAATCCGGAGGCTGAAGTAGAAAGTATTACCTGAGTCTAGAATTTCAAGATCAGAAGAGGTAACATAGGGAAAGTCCTTCCCCAAAACAAAAACCTCTGGTGCATACTGGCTCACACCTTTATTTCAAGCATTCAGGAGACAGAGGCAAGCAGATCTTTATGATTATGGTTCAGTCAAGGCTACATAGTACAACACTGACTCAAAACAAAGAAACCCACAAGTAACTTTTGTTCTCCTGAACTGTTTTCTCCTACCCTTACTGCCTCTGTCTGCTAACCTAGCCCTAGTTCTGGAAGCTTCTAGCTTCTATTCAAAATTACCAAGACCTAGAATGTTTTCAGCCTCTGAAACTTACTGAATAAGCTCACCCTTTCTTGTTTTTTTCTTTTTTGATCTCTGGCTGATTGATTCAACTCAGCTGTTCTGGCTGAAACTACTCTCCAACCTGACTGATTGAATCTGGCTTCTCTCTCAGCCTGACTTTTTGCTCTGTTTGGCCTCAAGCTAACTCTAGCAATCTGTTCTGATCTTCTGGCTCTTTTAAATTCTCTGGCTTGTTCTGTCTTCACCTTTGTCTAGCTTGTTCTCTCTTAAACCTGTCTCTGCAAAACTCTCCCAGTAAAACTGTCTCCTTGCCTTTTCTCCTTCTGCACTTTTTTTTTTTGTTGTTGTTGTTTTCGAGACAGGGTTTCTCTGTGTAGTCCTGGCTGTCCTGGAACTCACTCTGTAGACCAGGCTAGCCTCAAACTCTCAAACTCAGAAATCCGCCTGCCTCTGCCTCCCAAGTGCTGGGATTAAAGGCGTGCACCACCACTACATGGCTTGCACTGCTCTCTCATGAGAGCTGGGCATATGCTATTCTGTCAAAACTTTCTGATTTGTCACTTTGTCTGCCACTCAACTAGACATCACTTTCAAACATGACTGCTTCCTTCTACAAACTAACTTTATCTTCAATGTTTGGGAATAAAGGTGTGAACTAAGGGCATGTCAGTATTCCAGCCAGAGGAATTAAAGGTGTGTGCTAAGTAAGGCTAAGCCACACCACCACTACAGATAGGTTTTTCAAGTGAACACCGAAACCTCGGGGTTCAGTGTGATCAAATATACTACAACACGCATGGACTGACTGGATGGTCAGAGGGCAAACCAAACTTAATACCAACCAAGTCCTACAACTTGAGTTTGATCTCAGGGTCAAGTTGTAGAAATAGATAGAAACAACTCTCACAGTTTGTCCTTTAACAGACAATAATATGTGTATCCTGAACAACTTGCATTTATAGAGTGTTTTTATATACACAGTAAATAAGCAAAAAAAAGTTCTTTTAAATTCTTCTCACATGAATAGATAAGCAAGGTGCAGCAGTATATACATACAATGAAACAATGTGCAGAGACATCAAAAAGGAAGCAAATTCTGACATGTTACAACATTGATGAACAGAGACAACAAAATGGAGGCAAGACACCAAGGAGGCAAGTACTGTGTGTGGTTTGCCGTTTGCCTTATAAAAGGTACCTAGACCAGCCAAATTCATAGACACTGAAAAGATAGAAATAGTTTTGCTTTGCTTTTTTAGGGGTGGGGGTGAGGGATTGTTTTATTTAGACAGGATTTCCTCTATTAATGTAATTCTAGTTGTCCTGGACCTGGTTAGCCTGGAAGTCAGAGCTACCTGCCTCTGCCTCCCCTGGGTTGAGGTTAAAGATATGTGCCACTGTGCCCAGCTAAACAGTGATATCTCAAAAGCTGAAAGTAATTACAGAATTACTGTTTAATGAACATATATTTCATTTAGGAAGATGGAAAATTCTGGAGTAGATGTTATGGCAACACAAAATGTCAATCATAGACCAAATGCACACATGTGTACACCATACACACACAAACACACACACACCCCTTTAAGAACAAAAATATAGGCACGGTATACTAGTGTTTAAACCAAGCATTTGGGAGAGAAAGAGAGACATATGGATCTTCTGAGATTTGAAGCCACTTGATATACTTAGGAATTTCCAAACAAGTCACATCTTGGTCTACAAAGGGAGATCCTGGATGGATGGATGAATGGACGGACAGGCAGAAAGAGAGGAAGAGAGAGGGAGAGAAAGAGAGAGTAGTAAAAAAACTATTAATTTTTTTAAGTGAAAGCTGAAAAAGGTGTAGTTGTCAGGCACAGTTTACAAAGATATATTACTTTACCTGCTCAAAAGAAAACTGGAACTTCAAATAATATAGACAAAAATTCATGTAAAAACAACAGAAAGTATACAAGCATCTATCTACAAACAGCAAATAATCTTGGCTGGAAATGAGACCCATGTATGGATAAACAGGATAAAAAAGACTAAGATAGAAAAGAAAACCAAGATCCAGCGGTAAGAAGCTGTGAGTGCTGGGGGCTGGAGAGATGGCTCAGTGGTTGAGAGCACTGACTGCACTTCCAGAGGTCCTGAGTTCAAATCCCAGCAACCACATGGTGGCTCACAACCATCTGTAATGAGATCTGATGCCCTCTTCTGGTGTGTCTGAAGACAGCTACAGTATATTCATATATAATAAATAAATAAATCTTTAAAAAAAAAAAAAAAAAAGAAGCTGTGAGTGCAGGGATAAGGAGTTTTGACACTATTAACAAAGAAAGATGACCAGCACTTTCCTTAAGAACACTTAACAAACAGCATATACAAATAAGTCAGAGTGACAAAGACAAACAGCTAGCTAATCACAGGCAAAGCAAGGAAGTAATCAGATTGAATGACTAAACAATGCTTAAAGATGTAAAGGTATAAAGAAACTGATTCAGTCAAAATTTAAGTTTAGGCTATGTTTTCTTGTTACATACAATCCTAGAATAACATCATTCTTTCTCAATATTTATCACAGTTGAAATAATGGCTTTTCCCCTTCTACGATGTGAGCTTCATAAAAGCTAAATGTAAAGAGTAAAGAGGCTGGAGAGATGGCTTACTGGTTAAGAACCCTAGCTGCTCATGCATATGGCAGCTCACAAACATCAGTAAGAGGGTATAGTCCCCTCCCCTGTTGTTCATGAAGACAAAATACTCATGTATAAATAAAATAATATTTTTAAAAACCAGAGTGTAAGTCTTACTATTTCTTAGCACACTGTACTAAATTTCTTTTTTGTTTTTATCATAATTTTTCTCTTTTTTTCTCTTTTTTCATTCTGGTAGTAATGCAAATAAAACCCGGGGCCTGGCACATACAAGAAAAGTGCTCTACCAATGAGCTAGCTAATTCCTGGCCCTCAAATAATTTCTAAATAAATGTAAATACACACACACACACACACTACAGTATTTATTTAAAACAAGAACCTCTCTCTAAATCTTATTATATTTGGGCCATTATGAGATACAAATTGTACTCTAATATATAGCCATCAATGGTTTCCTTTTGTAAATGTGCTTTTCATTCTAACTTCAGAAGCAAATCTTTGAACAGTGTCTGAAATTTTGTCCATTAAGTTTATCCACATTTAACTCAGAAAGTTGTAACTTTAATAAGTACTAAAGTACATTAATACTCATATAATCATATTCATATATTAGGTGAGTTAAGAAATACAAAATATTTAAAAATTCCATGCACAAAAATAGGTTTACAATACCTTAGGGGGGTTAAATGGATATGTTTCTGGTATTTTTATCTCTAGTTGATATCTTCCACCTAAAAAAACAGAGGTGGGGGACAAATTTAAGAATGCTACTCAAGTATCTAAAATCAAACACACTGAAAAACTGTTTCAAAATATGTATTATTTTGCATTGAGTACTGAGAAAATTGAAATCCCAAAATAATCAAAGTCATGTTTTATAAGAAAATTTAAGGCATAGCAAAACTTTCATTGTATAGAATACTAGTTCAATAGTAACAGAGCTAAAGACACACAAATACATTAACTCTATAGACAACTCAATGTTAAATATTTCATTATTAATTAGTAGCATAAGGCTCAATGGCCTTGTTTTCTCAAGTTCACATGGTAAGAGATGCTGACAGAAAACAGAGAGTTAAAAGAAGAACAGACAGAGAATCACAGCACAGATAGTACAGAGGCAAAGATAACATCAGTAACACAAGGGAAAGTCTTAGCTAGTTCTCTTCCAAAGTCTCCATCTTCCCACTTATCCCCTGAGCAAGGCACTGTGTCACACACCTCTAACCCCAGCACCTGAACAGCAGAGACAGGAGAGAACCAGGAACCCAAGGCCCGCCTTAGCTTCATATCAAGTTCAAGACTGGCTTAGGCTACATGAGACTGTTTCAAAATGAAAAGAATCAACTTGTATTTCTAAATCAGATGTCAATACTTCATTTAAAATTTCAAAATAAAGTCAGAGAACAAAATAAGAAACAGGGCAACACACTATACTATTCTCTTCCAAGACTTTACAATGTACTAACTAGCAATAATTTATATAAACAGAAGGCAATATTCTGCTTGATTCTGAAACTATGTTGTAAATATTATCTGGGGTCCTTTCAAATCTACCTTTCTCCACTGTTTCGAGGTCCTTTCAAATCTCTCTCTCTTTATCCACTGTTTGAAATGTATGCATTTGAATCTCAGAAAATAATAAAAGAACTAGAAATTAAACAGGCATTTGGGAAGGGAGGGTATGTCAGGGTCTTACACTGAAGTATTCAAAGTAAACTCTAACTCCATGTTCCTAATCTCTGAAGGAGAAAGTCTTGCACTAGCATATTCCTACAAAGCTAGTACATGGTGTGGAGAAGCTAGACGATCTCCTAATTGAAACCCTGCTGAGCTGGAGGGGGCACGGCCAGCCGCTCTCAAACACACCTCTCCACTTTCCACTCCCAAATTCTACCTTTAATAAACCTCCCAGTTCTAGATTTCATGACCCTTTAACATGAAAGATTGAATAGTAAGAATAGGAAATAAAATTGTGCTACTGAAATGCACATGAAACTAAGGACCTTTTCTTTTTCTTTTTCTTTTTGAGACAGGGTTTCTCTGTGTAGCCTTGGCTGTCCTGGCACTCTGTAGACCAGGCTGGCCTCGAACTCGGAAATCCACCTGCCTCTGCCTCCCAAGTGCTGGGATTAAAGGCATGCGCCACCACCGCCTGGCTAAGGACCTTTTCTACTAATCAAAAAAATAAACCAGATGAAAAAAAACCCACCTGTCACATTATTGAATGAGTTACTTAAGCCTGAGGTTTTATTTCAATCACTGGAGGTTTCATTAAGATATCATTCCTTCACATGTGTGTGCAAAGAGACAGAGTAAGAAATGTGCATGTGGCATTACTATCATCAGTTAGCCCTTAAAAATGTAAGTATTGAACCACTGTCAGTATACCAGGGGTCCTTCCAAATTTACTGTACCTCATGGTTATGAAGGTATATATTTGGATCTCAAATAAACAAACAAACAAACATTTCACCTAGGTTCTTTAAGCAAAAACTACCTCTCCTCCCTTACACACCCCAAAGCCTCACTATCTAGCCCAGGGTGGCCTTAAAACTATAAAGCTGCTACCTCAACTTTCTAAGTCCTGGGATTACAGGAATAAAATATCATACTCATCCTTCAACAGCTTTCTTTCTGATTACAATTATTTTTGTCTCACAATTCTTTTTTTGGTAAAGTTCCAACTGAACATGTTTGCTCATATGGCAATACTTAAGTGTAAAAGAAAAGCAGAACAGAAGACAGACAGACAGATAAGAGTACTTAAGAGAATTCTGTAAATATGGAGATGACCATTTATATTAAGAATTATGGAGCCAGGCAGTGGTGGCGCACGCCTTTAATCCCAGCACTTGGGAGGCAGAGGCAGGCGGATTTCTGAGTTCGAGGCCAGCCTGGTCTACAGAGTGAGTTCCAGCACAGCCCGGCTACACAGAGAAACCCTGTCTCAAAAAACCAAAAATCATCCGACCTTTATAACTAGTTCCCCCTGTTTGAGTGTCATTATGTTTCTTGAGGTTAGGCAGAGTAGGAAAGAAAGTGTTTTAGGTTGTATTGACACAAATACCTACAGCATTTCTAGATATTTCTAGATTTCTATCATGGCAACAATCCTTTGTAGTGTTCAGTTGTTCAGTATATAGTAGACCCCCTTTATAACCACTTTTTATAATTTGTGTCGGTCTACTTATGGGGCTGGTGAGATGGCTCGATGGTCAAGAGCACTGGCTGCTCTTCCCAAGGCAAGGTCATGAGTTCAATTCCCAGCAACCACATGGTGCCTCACAACCAGCTACAGGGGGAATCTGATGCCCTCTTCAGGCAGGCTGATGTATATGCAGCAGAGCACTCATACATTAGTTTTTTAAAAAAAAACAAAAAACAAAAACAAAACTCAAATCCCTTTTCAAAAAAAAAAAAAAGAATTATGAACAGCAACTCCAAATACAAGTATTTTGTTTAAATAATATGTGGACTCATCTTTTTTAGTTTTCAGTAGTAAAAATGTAGATTTACTAAAAGTGAGAGTAAAACCACTGACTATCCTCCACACATGGAAGTGATCCAGCACACACATAGGCTAGCCTACACAGGCCGTTCTTTTCCTTTAAGATTCTTTTCATTTTTCTGACCAAGCTTTACAGTGGCATCTTTAGTATCTGTCACAAAGCCTTTTCTTCTTAGTGCTTAAAAAAAAAAAAACAAAACAACTTAGGAGCAGTTTGAGAGTCCAAAGATACTAAACACTGTTAGATTGTAGAGTCCTCAAAAATCTGATTTCTACTCCATGTCACATTGGTTTGTCAATTCTCAACAGCTTTCAAAAAAAAAGAAATCACTGCAGGATCGGTCATGACATATAATAACTTTTCAATGCATTGGCAATGGATATGAGTAAGCGATTTCATCTTGCAAAACTAACAGAACACTGGGGCAATGTCATCTCAAGGGCCCACAGCCAAATAAGTGGCCCTCATCAATGAATAGCTAAGAGACTTTTATAAGTATTATACGCAACAACCTCCAATATAAAATATGTATCTCTTCAAGAATACATTTTTTAATTCTCTTTGCATTTTCTGTGGCTTTGTTTTAGAGCAGGTTTTGCTGTTACCTAGGCTAGCTTGAACCATGAGACTCATGCAACCCTTCCATCTCATTCTCCTAAAGAGCTAACTTAGAAATGTGCCACCAATTACCAAACATTTACCTTATCTTGTTGGGGTGGTAGGGTATTTCAAACAAACCCTCAGTAGCTTAGTCATATCTGAGACTCATGTATCCTATGATGGCCCTAAATTCGTAGCAATCCTCAGCTTCCCAAATGCTAGGGTTACAAGCAAGAGACACTATGTCCAGAGAAACAATTGTGAACTTTAACTTCCTCCAATGAAAATAAAAGAAGTAGACAAGAATTACTGTGCTGCCTATTTGATTTTGACAAATTTGAAAAAACTTTTAGGCAAAAGGAACTAAATTAGTTCTTTATCACTGAGTTGTTTAGAAAAATGAAGTCGAGAAAATTCCATTTTCCATCTTCATTCTCCTTGAAAATCTAGTCATTTTTTAATACAACGTAAAATTGCTTTTAAATGAGAATATAGATGAATATTTTACAGGTAGACTTTAGCTTTAAATTTAGGCCAAAAACAAAAGCAGGGTAGGGAGAAACAGCTCAGTGTTAGAACTTGCCCAGCAAGCTCATATCCCTGGGTTCTATATCCAACAGGCCTAGCTCATCTCCAAATAAGCAGCAAGAAACAAAAGGATAAATAAATAAGCATCATCAACAACAACAAAAAACAGCAAGCCTTCTTTCATCTGTGTTTATATTAGGAAGCATTAGCAAGTTTATGACATAAATGGTACTTTTCTTCAGTATTGCTTTAACAGTTTTATGATTAAAAACAAGTTTTAAAATAATCTACTCTCCAAGCACATGCCCCAAATCATATAAAAACTAATAGTCTTATTTTTAAAAGTTGCATAAATAAGCACTTAAATAACTTGTTTCTAGCAAAAATTAAGTGTTTTATCTTAATTACTTTAAGAAAAATTATTATCCAATGTTTAGAAATTCATAAACTACTGCTAAGAAGGTAGTAAACATTCTAGCCACTGAGCTTAGGAGGGTCCTTGTGTGTTTTAAGTTTGCTGAGAGCTCTAGAATAGTAATATTATTTCTTGCATTTTAAAAACATCTGAACAATCTGAAAAAGCAACTCAGGAACAATTATAGGACTAGAGTGTGGCTCAGTTTATAACTACTTGGAACTGTGCATGAGACCTTGAATTTGAACCTTAGCACCACAAAAAAAAAAGAAAAGCACAATTATAATACATGCCATTAAAGAAGCTAGGAGATCAAAACACTATTTGCTACTAACACAGCTGACTTTTATAAGACAATGAAGACCTTCTCCACTCAAAGATGTCAGAAGAACTAAATGAGCCAGGTGTGGTGACACATGCCTTTAATCCCAGCACCTGGAACTGGCAGTCAGCTCTGTCTGAACTCAAGGACAGCCTGATCTACCTAGTGAGTTCTGGGCCAGCCAGGGCTACACAGTGAGATTCTGTCTATTAAAAAGCCAAAACCAGGCCTGGAGAGATGTCTCAGAGGTTAAGAGCACAATCTGCTCTTCCAGAGGTCCTGAGTTCTATTCCCAGCAACCACATGGTAGCTCACAACCATCTGTGATGAGATCTGGTCCCCTCTTCTGGTGTGCAGGCATACGTGCAAGCAGAACACTATACATAATAAATAAATCTTAAAAAAAAAAAAAACCTACATAAGAACATGTACAAGCCAGAAATACTAGTAGGTATGAAATAATTAGCAATATAAATTGGTGTCCTGGGGATATGGGTTGTGCCTGTGAGCCCACCAAATGGAAAATGAAGCAAGAGAAGCAGAAAACTCAGAACAAATTAGACACAGCAGTCGGACAGCATTCTTCCACAGAAGAACCTGTCTCAAAAATCTGAGGAGAGGGAAGAGAGTAGAGGGAAACAGAGCAATGGAAGCCAGGTAAAAGTGCCTCCCATCTGTAATCCCAACACTGCAAATTGAAGCAGAGGGATTGCTGAGAGTTTGAGGCCAGCTCAAGCTACAAAGAAAAACCTTGTTTCAAAAAACAACAAAAAAGAATTTTTGATGATAATCCAATGACATTCTAAGATCTTTTAAGGTTTTGAAAGAAAACAAAAATTGTCAAGACTATTTCTGAACTTCACTACACACTAGAGAGAGCACTCTACTGAAAGCACCATGTCTAACGCTTCACGAATCCTAATTTAATCAAAAGCACAAAGTTATTAAAAGCACGGGCTTTGAAGTCAAAGGTAAGCCAAACCCCAGCTGCTCAACTTTAGACAGATGACTTAAATTTTCTCAGTTCAAATGTGTCATTAAACAGGGATTATTATACTTACCTTGTAAGATTAGGTGAAAACTGAATGAGAAAATACATGTAGTGCTTTTACAAGGAAGTGCTACTACATATGATCAGATGCTTTCTATTAAACCAATATTGATAGTATATTATATGGGAAAGCCATGGTTGCCCTTCATGACCCAAATCTGCAATAATATTCCTTAATCAAGATTTGTCTAAGAAATACAAATACTACAGTCTCTTCCTAATTCCAGGTTCTAAAGTAAAGAGCTAAAATCATATTATAAATATGGAAATCAGCACAGCTATTTTCTTTTTTATATGTTTTAAAATAATCACTCAATTTTCAAAGACAGAAAATTGAGAATTTGGGCAACAACCTATATAAATATGTGACTAAGTAAAATATGAAATCATAGGGAGCCGGGCAGTGGTGGCGCACGCCTTTAATCCCAGAGAAATCATAGAGAGCTTTAAAAGCAAAACCAACATATTATTAATCAAAATGCTAAGACAAGGTTTGTTATTAATCATATCAAGGGTATCTGAGTGTATCTCCATTCAAGGATTAACATCCTATATTTAATTATTATGATATAAAATATATGGTTATTTTAAACAACAGAATTGGGAACAAGATAAAGGGAAGATGCTTTATGGCATAGTAGAATAAGACATATGGAATGTTAAATTCTGGCCTACAAACCTGTAACTTGGCTGTGGTGAATGTTATTTGAGAAAATATTTTTAAATCAGCTAAAACACAATAAGAAAAATCAGTCCAAGTGTCAAAATTTATCATTTTAAAAACTGCAATATACCCTAAACCAATAAAATTACCTTCCATAAATTTTATAGACAGATGCTCAGGATTACTCTGACTCAGTGTCTCAGACAAGTTCTAATAAGCACAATATTTTGATACAGAAAAAAGTACTTGCCTTCATACGGTGTGTCTGGAGGTCCTGCTATTTCTCCTCTTAATTCTGTAAAATTCTCATCTACAAGATCTACTTTAATTTGATTTTTGCTCGTCTTAAAAATAAACAGAAAATAAATGTTAGTTATACCAGCAAGAAAGCCTATTTTAAAATATTACCTATTAAAAAAAATTAAAAACCCATTTTTCATGTTTGATTATCTACTTTAATAAAACAGTCTATGTTTTTCTTAGGCCTAAAAGTTTAATATAAATTTTAATATCAATATTTATAATAAAATAGTACCAATTTGAATAAGAGCGCAATTGCTTGTTGACCTTAGAAGGATTTTATTAGAGACAAATTACTTTCTGTTGGTCAATTCAGTGCATGCACGCTGACTGCTAAGATGCTATCTCTATACTGTCTCTGCCCAGTCACCAAAATATTTGTTAGTAAAAGCCATTTAGGCCACAAGCTCCCATTTGAGTTAATCATAACAACTCTAGATATTTGATTAACTGATTTACTGTACCACCCACGGCAGTGATAAATACTCTATGCATAGCATTCCTTTCCACAGTAAAATCCTAACTAGAATCTTCTGATGCCTTCTATTTATTTTTCAGATTTATTTACTTAAGTGACAACTACCTTCCGACTAAAACAAACCCAATTTAAATTTATCTGTATCTACTTATTTTGCACTTATGCTTCTCAAAGCATTTATCATCCATAACCTTGTGAAAGGCGGACTCGAGTCATGGTGACCTTGAAGAATTCAGAAAACCATCCAGTGTGATTCGCATTAGCATTCTCTTCTAACGGACCTACCTGCCTGCAAAGGAGCTCTCTCCATTTACCAGCTTATGCCTTTCTTGTTCTCTTAATTGCTCTACATACTGAGCACTCTGAACACTCCTAATTTACAGGTTTTCTCGATTTAAAACTAAACCCCTAAAGTTCACATTTTTTATTTGAATTCATTATTTTTATGTAAGTAACATGGAAAGAAAGGTTCACAAAGATTTAAATTGTTGGCTTTTAGAAGCACCTTCTGAATGGGCAGAACAGCAATGAGGACTACTGTTTAAGGTCTTTAGTGTCTTCTTTTCACCTCCAATAAAAACAGCCAGTTTTACCTTTTTATATAATATTTTTAGTATCGAAACAGTATGTAACTCAAAATCCAAGTTTTTTTAAGTTTTCATTATTCATAATATTTTAATAAAAGCACAAGATGAAAAGACATGACTTTTATGCATTCTAAAAACATTCCAGTTGGTACTGGTTTCTTTAATTATCTTTTTTCTATCTGAGATGGCAGCATCTCATTTTTTTCAAAACATTCAAAAGATGATTATTAATGATAAATATGCACGAGAAGCTTCTTCCTGTATCTTAGGAAATGAGTTCTCTTTGTATTTGTGGTGGAGGAAGAAAATGTGTATTTTAATAAAAGTAAAAATATCTTGCCCATTGTGTACAAGAGTGAATGTTAAGAAAATTGGAAGAATGTTAAAATTGGAAGAATGTTAAGAAAATTGGTTTTACCAACCAATTCAAGCAGCCTTAAGTATCAACTTCATACCTCACTTCCCCACTAGAATGTCTAAGCAACATAGTATCTTCTGAATTATCAGCCCTTTCAAAGCTTACTACACAGCATCCCACAATCAATTCTCTCTGGTCTAAAATGAAGTAAATAATGCTAAAGCGCTTTGACACTAAAGGAGCTAATTAGAGTTGTTTTTGAAAGGGAAAGAGAAGATAATAAGTTAGAAAACTGCTTTCTTGCAACTGCCCCAATTATCTGATTAGTAAAACGCTAAGTAAGTAGTTATCAACTTTTATACCTGTCCTTATATTTGTCCATATCTCTCCCAAATTATAATTCAGAGGTGAAAATATGAATTGTTTCACTCTAGAGAAAGAATACTAGTATATGAAGGATTTACTAAATCTGCTCAAGAAAATACCATCACCATGATGAATCCCATTATAAAGAAGCATTTTACATTCTAGAGTAGGGTCTTTATCTGCAGATAACTAAAGATAAAAAGAAAATGAAAAGTTAAAATCGAGAATTTTTCACAAGTCAATTTTTCTATCAAGTTAATTTTTTATCAAGTTAATAATTAATTTTTTATATCTTCACAGTTTGATTTAAACATCCAATTACTTCACAATCCAAACCTCCCACTACCCACACAGGTTGACTTAAAATGTCAGTATGTCACTCAGGAACATTTAGAAACATGGAACAGCAAGAGAACACAATACTAGACTACTAGAAAGCATGGACCCTGGAGTCAAGTCTATGGAAGAGGTCACAGCCCTTTTCAGAAGAAATGGGTTTCCTAAGCACACACTGCATCATTTGCTTAATAACAAATACCTACAAGTCTTTCATTAGAAAGTATTATAATTCACTTCAGTTTTAAGAATGGAAACATTAATTTCTAAAAAAACAAATGTGTTACCCATAAAGAGTCACAAGCAGAGCTGTAGCTTCCACACAAACCCTTCAGTGTGTTATTTTGGCACCACAGCTTTAGAGAGGACAACTGCAAAGCTGTTTTCTATAACTCTTCTACCACAGTTCAGCACAAGGCAGGAAGGACTTGGAGTAGTCTTGACCTTTCTGACATTCCTTTGGATCTACAGAGCATTACTAATGCCCAAACACAAATGATAGCCAGGCATGGTGGTGCACACCTTTAAGTCCAGCACTCAGAAGGCAGAGGCAGGCACTCTGAGTTTGAAGCTACATAATAAGTCCCAGAACAGCCAGAGAGGCCCTTTCTTAAAAGGCAAAAGGGGTGTATGAGGGGTGGGGTGCACGGAGGAATAAAAGATACAGCTCCTAGTAAGTAATGTAACTATTAAAATACAGCAAAACAGCATAGAACATTGAAGATTATCTAGGTGAAGCAAAATAAATGAACATACTGCTAATGACAAAGTGCAGAATTCTCCGCCAGCACTTAGCTCACTCAGTAAGAGTGCCTAGAATGCATGAAGTCCTGGCTAAGTATGATCCCAAAACTAGGGAGGTGGAAGGAGATCAGAAATTGAAGATCATCCTCAGCTACACAGCAAATCTGAGGCCTGCCTAGACTACACAGACCTGGTCTCAAAAGAAGAAAGGGGTGGGGGGCAGCCACATGGTTCAATAGATAAAAGAATTTCTAGAACTTACATGGTAGAAGGAAAGAACCAACAGCCCCTACACTAAGACAAGTTGTCCTCTATCTCTCTGCACCCACATGTGCATATAGACACACGTACACACACATATACAGACACACACAAATGTAAAAATAAAGGAGGAAAACCAGTGCAAAATATAATGCAGTAGTCCTAAGGCTGAGAATAGGTATAGAGCATGTACTAGGCCCAAACTCAAATCCCAACACTACCCTTCCTCAACTCACCCAAAAAGGCTGACTCAAGTCTAATACATTTTCAGAGATGAAAGAAAAAGTTAAGAAAGCAATCCTTGACATAGTAATGCTGAGTGCAAAGTAGCAACTGATGCTATGACTCTGTGGTGCACACCAACCTCAAGCCTGTGGAGACCGTTCTGCCGAAGTCTGGTGTATGCTGGTATTTTAGCTGCGTGCCACCATATACATATTTGGTATTGAGGATCAAAGCAAGACTTTGCACACACTAGGGTAAGCATTCACTCCCCAGCTGAGATACAGTACTAGCTCACAGATACAGTACTTGTTGTTGGGAATATGGGTGTTTTGCATGCACATTATGTCTGTGTACCATTGCTTGTCTGGTGCCCGTGGAGGTCAGAAGAGTCCATAAATAAAAAAAATTTCATATACCTTACTTGTATCCTAAAATGAAATTTTAATCCAAATATCAAGCTGAACTACATATCTATAATCTAAGCACTACAGATACAGAAGTCTGAGCAGTCTTGTAAGCAGTTCCTCCAATACATGGGCTGTTCTTGGAATGTGCTTTTGTGCCCCTCCCAGGTATGGTAAATAGAAGTGGGTTTACTTCAGATTACCCATCATGTTTCTATCATTATTCAGATGATGTTTCTAACCAGGGGCCATCCTCATGACTGTATACAGCTTGAACTCACCTGAACTTTGTTCTTATGATCTGCCCTAAAGAAAGTTAGTGATGGCATGAGACTTTAGTCCTCCTCACTTTAGGCTTCATTTTCCTATGTTCATGCCACCAGCTAGAGTGGTACCTCTACCACTGAGTTACATCTGTCTAGCCCTGGTAGAAGGGACTATTATTTAAGATGAGCATGGTAGTTCAGTTGTACAATCCCAGCACTTGGGAAGCTCAAACAAAAGGATGACCAGATTGGGCTTGACAGTGAATTCTATGCCAGCTTCCACTACATAGTGAGAACTTGTCTTATTGGAAGAGAAAGTGGGCCAGCAAATTGATGGAAGAGAAAAATTTGATTCTCCATGGCTTGTTTGAAATAAAGATTTTTAAAGTTTAGCAGCTACGTTTGTTAAGTCTCAAAGAAATTTGGGACAGGCGTTACCCAGTACCTGCAGCTCTTCCCGGCACCCAGCACTCCTCAGGTGACCTCCTACCCTAAAGCCTCTCCCTCTAAGGGGCTGAGCTTCTACTTACGTGTAAGTAAGCCATTTTGCCTCAATCTCCTGATCTCTTTTTCTGATTGCCTGCCATCATCCCCACATCACCGTCCCTTTTCCTCTTTCTCTCTCACTCCTCACCCCTCCTCCTTTCATGGCTATGTACAGTCCAGACCCTTTGTACTCTCCCTCAACCACACCTTATAGCCAGAAGACACAGTCCTCTATTTTTCATTCACCATTATTTTCCCGAACATTTAATATACATTATTTACCTCTAACCTATTATTCAGTGACTTAAGAAATAAGCCAAGATTTTTATCTGAACATTAGGGGGTGGAGGGTGAAGATCAAGCCCAGGTGCCTGGAGCATGATACCAGAGCTACACCTACAGGCCTAAACAGCATGGGCCCTTTAATGTTCCCCAACAACAGTTGACATGAAAACTAAGAAACTGAGACAAAATAGGAAAGTGAGACCAAGCAAACATTTACAACCATTATTATGAACAAACCGTAACCCTAG